CCAGCTCCGCAGCCGCGTCCTGCCCCCAGCCCTCCCCGGACGGTCGCCTCCCCGCGGGGTCCCGGAGGTCCCGGCAGAGGCAGCGCCGACCTGGGGCGTCGCGCGGCACGTGTGCTCGGGTTTCTCAGCTTGCACTGTGTCAACTTGACATTTCTCCTAGGATGTCCCAGTCCCTGCCCTTGGGGTTATAACTGCTCGGCCTTCGAGCTCTGTGGTGGGGATTAAATAAAATGCCCCCCGTAAAGTGCTTGGGACACGGTCAGCTCTCAGAAACTGCGTCGCCCTTGCGGTTTTTCCGCCAAGTGCCCAGCCTTGCCCGGTGTCTCCTGCACCAGGAGGGCGAGGGGACGGGCAGCAGGGCGGCTGGGCTCTCAGCGACCCAGGCAGGCGCGCACCTGAGACATGTCACCCACGTTCAGAGGAGACTCAGAAGGGCACAACCACCAGTCTTGAGAATGACTTGAGGGAAACACGGTTCCAGCGATAATTTTTAAAAGTAGCTTTACTGAGGTGTCACGGACTGCCCGTGTTTAAGGTGTACGATCTGATAAGTCTGGGCATATGCACACGCTCATGAAACCGTCCCCACCGTCAAGACAGTGAACACGTCCGTGGCTCCCAAACGGTTCCCAAGCACAATTGTTAACCCCCTCCCTAGCACTGGTCCGCTTTCCATCATTACAGTTTAGCTCGAATTTTCTGGAGTTTTATATAAACGGGATGTACTCTCTTTTGTCTGGCTTCTTTCACTCAACACAATTATTTTGAGATTCACCTCTGTTGTGTGTTGCCGTAGTTCACTCCTTTTTATTGCTGCATAGTATTCCGTGGTCTGGGCGTGCCATAGTGTGTATATTCATTCATAGGTTGAAAGACATTTGTTTCCGGTTTGGCACTATTACAAATACAGCTGCTGTGAACATTTCTGTGCCAGCCTTTGTATGGACAGATGATTTCATTTCTTCTGGATAAATCCCTAGGATTAAAATGACTGGGTTGTATGATAAGATTACTGGTTTCCAAAGTGGTACCATTTTACATTTCCACCAGCAATGTCTGAGTGTCCTGGT